CTTATGGAGCATTATATATGAAGCCGCAGCATACAGGAAGTAAAAAGGACAAAGCAACACTGATTAGAAAGGGGAACTCGATTTTTCATGAAAATTCCAATATTTAACAAGTGTTGAGTTTGTGATGTAATGATGCTTCCCTATAGATATCTATTGCTAAGCATTACTGAAATCACATAATCCCAATCAAATAAGAGTAATAAATCAAGCTTCAAGAAAAATACCTAAAATCATTGTGAAACTACATATATATATATAATTAAAAGAAGTAGGAAATGTTTAAGAGGTGGTACTCAATTAAACAGTGCTCTCCATTCCCTCCCCCTTCCCCCCTTCCTCATTTTCCTTTTCCATCCTTTTTCCAGGGCATTTTTCACTGTGCAAAACAGCTTCAAAATTCACCGAAGGATTGAGATTGACAGGGAGCCCCTGGGCTGTCACAAAATTACTTCATTAAGGAAGTCAGTATTTTTTAGACCTACACAACTCCACACCAAAATGAAACCAAATCATTCTCAGTTTCATAATAATCTTAACTCTCTCCAGCACCTATTGACTACTTTTTAGTGAAACTAATTTAATTTTATGATGACTTTTTTTGTTTATGTAAATTTCTTCCATTAAAAGGGATTGGGGGGGAGGGGTCTGGGCAGGAAGGGGAAAAAAAAGCTTTCCACCTGTTAAAATCAATACTGCAGTTTGAAATTATTCACAGTTCTTGCAGATACTTTACCAAAGCTAGTCCTTAGAAACCTAAATAAAAATTCAAGTGTATAAATGCTGATCCTTAGCTAGTGTGCATGTCATAGCTCTGGGAGTGCCATTTCAGAAATATTTTTTTTTGGGGGGGGAAACAGGAAGAAGTTGTGTTTCAGTATATATAACATTATATGGTGTAATATTATAGCCTGAAAAGTCAGGGGTGGAGGGGCAGGAGAGTGGGGGAGAGGAAGTAGAAGACATAATGGAGCACATGGAACTATGAAAAGTCTGGGTGGGGGGCAAAACTAAGGTTGGGGGGGGCACTGCTCCCCTACCCCCCATAGCTTGAATGTCAATGAATCACAGAACTATGACAATTTACACCAGCTGAAGAACCACATTTGAGTCTTTAAATAGTGTATTGTTTTTGCATTTTAGCAACTTGGTTATTGCTCATTTATTGATATAGATGACAAAATACTGCAAAACCCTCCCAAAAAATCAGCAATAGTTTCCTTTCTTCAAATGACAGAAGTGTGTCTCTAAACCAGAAAAAAAAATCCTTCTTTGGCTAGCAGAATATTTAGAAAAGTAAACAAATTTACAGTAAATTGCAAATAAGTTCAAGAATTCAAAACGAAACAGTTGGTCACATTCTTCACCAATTACATCAGTTTTATGGAGTAACACTGCTGAAAATCTGATGTACTGGAGTGGAGCATCAAACCGTTTAGTATTTGCTTCGATTTTTCTTCTTCGGAAGAAAAAGAAGAAAAAAAGGACTTAAATTTGTCAATTTATGTTATCTATATTTTCCTCTCAAACTTTTCATTTTAGCAAGTGTATATAAGCTTTTGCGAAGACTAGTGCCTTTTAAAACTTACCATTTTTAATTGAAAACTGAAATGAATTGTTAAACCAATAGCAATGCTTAATCTGTAGACCCCCAATCCTGAAAACTCTTACATGCATATTTAATTTCACTTGTCTGAGTAAAGTTGCTCATACACAGAAGCATTTGTGGGATCAGGGCCACATAATGTAATTCATCCTAATGCAGACTCCATTTTGTATGTAAGTTTCAGAAACTATATCCTATTTTTTGTTCACGTGAAGTGAGTAACTTAATAATGCTCCTTCATTCATGTCAACAAATGCCACTCAAATGAAAAATAATGGAGAGTTGAATCCTCTTGTTTTTAGGGCCAAATGTAACAAACAATTAATTAGCTATTACTTTCCATCCATGATCATTTCATTTTCATTATTTGGTACTGAAGATCCCATTTATTGCTTTTGAAATTATTTTAAATTAGCTGCAGTATTCCCTACACTTAGAATGGAATTATTGAAAATATCAGAAATATTCCTTACACCAGTCATATTGGTAAGTGACTAGTTTTTAAGGGAACCCCAGCAATACAAGGTAGTAGAAACCCTGATTTTTCTTTCAGATGAAGTAGGAATTTCACATGTGAAATCAAGGGGACATTTGAAAAATCACTGTATTTTCAGACTGAAATTCTGTACCTCCTCTAGTTACAAGGAACCCCTACAAAGTTAAAAAATAACTCTCCCCCCTTCCTTTTTCAGTTTGTTTGTTTTGTGGACTTGAAAGCATTTTATGTACAGTGAGTTTCTCCCTTACTTACCTTTACAAACATTAATAAAAGAATAGAAAAACACATATTTTTTATTTGCAGTATTCTTTACCAAGAAATATCACGGCATGAAATTTAAAGTGTGCTCTAACAGAAACTGGAATTTTTGAATTTGCATAATTGAAAAAAAAATCAAGTGGACAGTCACCCTTTAAGGAAACTCCACAACACAAAGTCATTCACAATAAGTCATTCATTTACTGAAAGACTAGTTAAATGACCAGTAACACTTCATTTCTGGTCCAATGACTCTATAAATCAATGGAGGAGGGAGATAGGGAAGGGGGTACATCAATCATATTGACAGGTTCCCATACAGGTAAGACACCTGCACTTAGAAGCAATGAGGTTTTCAGAATGAGAAACACAGCACACTTACGCTCTCATTTTGTAAACTCAGCTAGGGTTCAGTATGTTACATCACTGTACAGTGTCCCAAGCCATATGTGCCCCTAACAGGCAGCACCTGCTGGACACCTATTGCTTTGGACCTGCTCAGATTATTTTAATAAAAATTCCCCATTTTCTCTCCTTTGTTTTCTTTCAAAACTAATACTAATGAATCTGGATATACCCTGGAGAAATAGCTCTACGCCGTCTACTGTGTATCAGTCTTTTGGATGAGATCTTAAAAAATTATGTTCTGTCAGTTCCCTGTTGACGGCTATACAAGAGTTGGGTGTTATTGTTATTAAAGATCCCATGACAAGTGTCAGAAGAAGTGGGGTCTGCCTTGCTGTCCTTTGCCAAAATTCCCCTGTCTGACAGCACACACCGTACTTCACACCCGCTACCACCCTCCCCCTAAGAGACAGCTGAACTTAATGGCACCAGGGAGACAAGAATAATGCCTGAGGAGCTTTCAGAAAGAAAGGTGATATTTAAATATAAAACATTATTCTCCTGCCCCCCTCCCCCCAGTTTATTTTACATTACAAATCCCGCCAGGCCAAAACCTGCTGTCGATTGTACCAGCATCAATCCGGAGTTACTCCGCAGTGGCACCGGTTAAAAGGAGAGTAGCATTCGACCACTCCGTGCAGCAGCTAGCTGGTGTGAAGCTCATCCCCCTTCACACGCATGACGGACGAGCAGCCCAAACAGGAATGAGGAAGTGAAGCAGCTGGTGGAGGTGAATGTTTAAAAAGGCACCAGAGCAACCGCTCGGGCGGCTCCAGCCCAGGCGGACAAAGACCCGACATTGATTTATGTGCTCACCCTCAGGCGGGAGCGTACTCCGGCTCGGCCCCCTTCTTCTCCAGGCTGGCCGCACCCCGGTGCTTCGGCAGGGGGTGAGTCCGCTCGGGGCAGCAGCTCAGCCTTGCACTTCGCTTGCCGCCGGCTCCGCCTTTGCAGGAGTCAGCGCGGCGCCATGTAAACCAGGCTGAGAAGCGGAGCGGCCGGCGGGAGCAGCCGCCTAGTCCTCCTCCCCTGCAGCCGCAGCGCGGCGGGGATTTTCCCCCTTGTTTTGGAGAGCGGCCCGGGTGGCTCCGTCCCACAGACCTGTCAGCAGCAGCTGCCCTTTCGCAGCGAGTTACCTCCTCTGTCCCTCCCTCCCCTGCTGCCGCTGCTCTCACTTCCTTCCTGGCTGGAAATTCCCACTGACGTTTCGAGAGCGAGAGAGAAGCAGCGGCCGCCGCGGAAGGGTGGGGAGTTGCGCACGAGAGAGGCGCTCCAAAGGCTGAGCAGCTCCAGGGATGCCTGCGGGGGCAGAGGGTAGCGCAGGTTAGTGCTGCCATCCCTGGGCAGGGCCCTGCTCTGGAACCCGCTGTGGCGAGGATGTGAGTTGGGGAAGATTAAAAAAAAAACATCAACCTTATTGTTTATTATTTACAGGATAATAGCAGCAGCCAGAGACCCTAATCAGGTCAGTGGCCCATTGTGCTGTACAGGGGACATACATTGGAGAGGGGCAGCCCCACCCCTGAAGAGCTCACACTATCCCTTAGCGAAATCCTCTCCCACCAAAGGGAGAAAAGGGACTGTCACACACACACACACACACACACCCACCCCCTCTCCCACCCAGGGCTGGATTAATGCAGGGCCTGCAGCCTCGGGCTAAGGGGGGCCCCAGGGGCCAGATGTGGCCCGCTGCTTCTTTTAATCTGTCCCGCGGCAAGTCTCCGCACCGCAGGCAAGACACCGGTCCCCAAGCCTCGGTGCTCCCCCGGACCTGGAGTTTGCAAGCACCGGCTCGCCAATGTACCCCTGCGGGCTGTAGGCGAGGGGCATTCAGGGAAACTCTGCGCGCTGCCCACAGCGCCGGGTCCACAGCTCCCATTGGCCAGGTACCGTGATCCATGGGAGCTGCGGGGGCAGCACCTGCATGCACAGGCAGCTTGCACCGTGCAGAGCGGCCTGCCCCCTCTGCCTAGGGGCTGGACATGCCCGCCATGTCAGGGAGCAGAGCAGGCAGGGATCCTGCCTTAGCCCTGCTGCGCCACCAACCTGGTTGGAGCCTACACCCCAATCCCCTGCCTCAGCCCACTCCAAACCCCCAGGAGCCCCACAAAATCTAATAGCCCTGGGCCCACAGGAGAGTTAATCTGGCCCTGCGCAGCAAAAAAAAGGGAAACGACACACACACACACACACACACACAAACACACACACAAAAGGACTGTAACACACACACACACTCTCTGTGCTAGCAGGGCCAGTGTTAGACTCGCTGGGGCCCAGGGCACAAAGTAAGGAGTGGGCCCCCAGCCTGAGCCCCACAGCCCATAACTTAGCTTCTTATGGCCCCCAGACAATTGCTCTGCTTGATACCCCCTAATACCAGCCCAGGGTACAAGAGAGAAACTGTCCTTCCCCCACAACCCTCCTGCCGTAGAGAGGAAGAAGCTTGTAATAAATCCACATCGAACAAGATCTTTCTTGCACGGAAGCATAAACTGCGCCGAGAGAAATCTTCCAGCCTAGAGGGAGATATTTGAATACATGAGCCTTGTCTACACTGGTGGCTTTACACAGAAAATTCCCACTGTTATTAACATGGGTTTTTCAGCACCAGTCTTTATATCCTTTCAGTTAAAAGCAGATGGTTTAAATCAACACAGTCCTGAAAACAGCCACTGGAACATAAGCAAAGCTCCTTTTCTGTATGCTTGTGCAGCACCTAGCACAACAGGGCCCCAGGCTGGCTGTCCTATGTTAAATAATAATAAATAATACACCAAAGCTACCAAGGGAGGAGAATTGGACCCCAGGACTCTGTGGGAAGGAGCTCAATATAGATCTAAAATGTGGGAAGTGTTTCAGAGAGAGAGAGAGAGAGAGAGAGAGAGAGAGAGAGAGTAATTTGAAAGGAAAGGTGCCATGTCACAGATATGCTCAGAAGCAAGACTTGTGTGAACAAGTACTGGGAAAGTGGACAACCTGAAGTGGCTACAAAAGTTAAAACAGACGTTGTGGAATGATTTTAAAGGGACGCTGTTAATGGGTTTAGGACCTGACATTTAGGTTCCAAATTAAATCCTCTGCACCGTCCCTAGATCTAATCTTTACAAAAAAACCCACAATTTTAATTCTGTTAAGACCCCATCTTCCATCATTGAAGTCAATGGAAGTTTTGTAATTATCTTTCAAGGGAAGCAGTATCATGCCCTAAGGGATCCTCTGCATGGCAGTAAGGCTCTGGGGAGGTAGATCACTGTGAAGGACCAGGGCCTTAGACTGTAAGCACTTTGGGGAAGGGTGTTGTGTACTCCACATTCTATAAAGCACTGAACACATTTTAAATACTCAACAAATAGTGAATGAATAAATACATTTAAAAATACTGATGGAGTCTTCAGCAAGAGAGAATTTAGGTTGCTGAAAATTCAATTTTCCTCAAATGACATCATGGATGCTCTAATTTTCACCAGCAGATAATGGCTACTATGAGGCTGTTAGGCCAGTCAAGGATTGTGGGAGCAGTTGGGCCATGCCTCCTTATCCTAGAGCCCCCTGTCCCATAGCTAGCTCTACACCCCCTGAAAAGGCGTGTTGGAGGAACACTTAGTTCTTTGGTTTTGGGCCAGGCTTCCCGCACTTTTGCACTGGCAGAGGTTTGCACAGAAGGACCTTATTGAGGCCAACGGATCTTGTCCATGGATTTCTCCTCTAGGAAAGACCAGAGAATTCTACTGTGTAAGTTTTTTAGGCATATTATTCAATACTTCGTAGCATATTCATTCAGCTATCCTTTGCATAGTAGTAAACTAGCTATGTTTATATTTTAATCAGCTATGCTTTCTTTCTTCTATTTCTGAATAGCATTAGTAAAATCTGATTTTTATATATGTTACTGGAATTGGAGGTAAATTTGGGATGTTGGAGAGAATGAAAAAAATTCTTACCTCAGTGAAAGCAGACTCAGGACTGAGTACTCAAAGCAAGCACATTTCAATTCCCCTCAAGATTGCCAGCTTCCTTGCAGCACTGAGGCCAGACAGGATACTGAGGAGAGCGTAGCGATCTTGTGGAGTTGTACATTTGGCTAGTGGTACAATGCACATGGTCAGTCTGGAGGCTTGTGCAGAGCAAAGTGAGCAAAAACTGAAGTAGGAAAAAAAATGAGTAAAATTGTGAGCATAGTTGCCAGATTTGGTTGGACATATTCCTGGAGGTTTCATCACAGTACAATATTTAATTAAAGATTAATCTTTAATTCCTGGACACTCCATGATAATCCTGGAGGGGTTGGCAACGCTAGTGGTGGATAGAAATGCACGTGGAGAGGGGGATGGAGTTCTGTAGAAGATTGAGTGTGAAGGCTAAGGACTGGTTATCCCCTCCCTTTAACTTTGTGCAGCCATTTCCATCTGGGTGTAGTGGGTGTAACACATGACCATTTTCATTTGGAAGTAAGTGCTTTACACAGTTGCAAATGGCTACATAAGGTGTAAGGCAGTGAAGAATCAGGTCCTAGTTTGTTTGTTGGTTGGTTGTTTTTTCCCCCCAAAACATGATGCCAAGGCAAATGGGAGCCAGTGAATGAATTTGAATATGATAGTAGCATGTAGAGTGGTAAGAAAATAGTGGAAAAAGGAACCTATTTTTAGCAGCCCTCTTTTTGTTCTGTGCTTGTACAGCTGCTGGTACACTTGGAGCCTGATCACCTATCCCTGATGTTATGATAATACAAATAATAATAAGAATGATAGCAACAGCTTTTTGGATGGACTGAAAAGGAGCAGGAAAAGCAGTAGATGGACCAGAGAGGAGGCGGTTTCAATACTGAAGGTAAGAGATGACCAATATATGGATGAGAGTTGTAATGGAGCAGAAACTATGAATTTTAAAGAGGTTATAAAGAGATGGCAGCCTGCGTGTGGTGTGAAAGAAAGAGGAGCCAAATATGATTGAAGTAGTGAGTCTAGCTGAGGGACAGAACAAGTGATGGAGAGGGAAGGACTTGGGGAAAACAGGTGAGATGAGCAAAAAAGAAAATAAGAGCATCCTGACACACCAAAAATCCTCATGGAACTTTAACTATAGCATTGCTGGCAATCTGTGCTAAACTGAACAATTCAAAGAGCAGTGTGAAAGAGCCCACATTGTTTTACGCAATGGCTGACTTTTTCTGATGATGCACAGGAGAAAGAGGGGTAACTGGTTTGGCAGGTCATGTTTGTTTTTCTTGCTATAATGGGGTGAGATTCTGGTGGAGGTGAAACTAATTTCAGTGCTGTGTATTGTAATTTCTATCATTTCTATTGCTGGGTCCTAAGATTTTTTTTTTAAATGCTGATGGATATGATGATATATTCACAAGTCTCCCACTCACCCTGCAAATTAAAAAAAGGTCCACTGTAAATAATGTTACATTGCACAGAGGTACAGTACATGTATTCATTCTTGTGGCAGATTTAACTAGAACTCTGTGAGGGAGCTCCAATTGACTGACTTCCGATGGGGCTCAACAAATGTGCCATGCAAATGATAGGGTCTATTGAGAAGAAACAGCCTGGGCTGCTTTCACTTTACAATCCAGCCCTGGATATTCCTCCATATAATAATATAATGTACAGTATGATCTCAAAGTGTACAGTAGCACATTCCCTCAGTACACAATTGTTTTATACTTAGAAAAGTGTAACAATGGAAAAACAGTCTATGTAAAATAGGGTGAATGACACCACAAGCAAATGCCTTATCAACAGCTTCTGCTTAAGGTAAGTAGTGTCACAAACAGCTTGGGAATAAATATAGTTCTACTCTATTCTTTAGAAGCTAGGGTTAGTCCAGACTGTGATTCATTTTTTGCTGTTGATCAATTTACTATCTAATCCCACAACCACTGAAATCAAAGGGATTTTTTGTAATTGACTTCATTGAGAGCAGGTTTTTGCCAGTCCACTAGCCTGCTACACCCACTCCCCTCAGTACTTCACCTGATTGGATCATGATTAGTAATGCACCATGTTCAGCAGCCCTACTAGCGTAGCTGAAGGCTACTGTCTCTCAACCCTCATTTGCACCTTTGCAAGCTACAGCCCATCCTGAGCAGCCCACTTTTCATCTTTGTCTGACTCAAACCATTAAAAGCTGAACAAGAATGATTCTGTAGTCTAGTGGGTAGGGCACTCACCTGGGAGGAGACACCCAGGGTCCAGTCCTCATGTTCCAATCGCTCTCTAATTATGTATCCACAGTGGAACAGCTTCCAACAGGAGACACTGAAGGAGCCCCACATCAGAATATTCCATAGCTCAGGCACTCTCCTGAGAGGTGGAAGACCCCTATTCAAATCCTTTCTTGAACTTGGGTCTCCCACCTTCCAGGCGAGAACTCTAAACCCTGGGATAAAAGTTATAAGGTGGGAAGCAGCAGAAGTAACACCACCTCCTCCTCCTGGTTTTAATGGAGCGAGGCAGGCATCTAACTCATTCCTGCAAGAAACAACTTAAGCACCTAAACCGCCTGACTGCCAGAAAGGGGTTCCCATTCATGGATCGCTAGCAGAAATAGGCTAGCAGCCTGGATTTAGGCACCTATCTCTGTGAGGGGGGCAGGGCTTGAGACACTCCTCTCATCAGGATATCCCATACGTTAACTTGTATGTCTCCCAGCCTAGCATGCTAGCTTTTGTGGGTTGCACTCCCACAAAATGCCTCCCCCCACATTCATTCTATAGGGAGCCTAGGTGTGAAACTCAGGCTTCGTGGCTCACTGTTACTGTAATTTTTCTAGGCACCTAGATCCCTTTGTGGGTCCAGGCCTAGGTGACCTGCTGTGACCAAGTGGGAATGTTCTTAATGTTTTCTCTGAATACTGTATGGGTGCCTCAGTTTCCCCTATGCATTTCTTAAGTATCTAGGTGGTGGATAAGGGTGTGTGATTTTTGCAGAGCCCTAGAGGGCTGTTTGATGCTTTCTGCACAGAGAATGGTCGATGCATAGAATCATAGAACCATGGGGTTCAAAGGGACCACAAGGGTCATCTAGTTTAACCCCCTGCCAAGATGCAGAAGGCAGACACAAGGCAGTGTTTAAGGTCACTGCCTATTTGTGAAGGTGCACTGGTAGCTGGGATTGGTGGAGCTTTTTTGTTTTGTTTTTTCTTCTCAGTTTTTGCATTTCCTTCTTCCCTGGTGAGAATGAAAAGTTGATTTTAGCAATAAGAAAAACAATTGTTTTAATTCTGTGCACCTTTACAACTATTAAGACATCATCACAATTTTTAGCAATTGTGCTAAAAAGACACTCCCCAATTTTTAGATTTCACAGTCAGGGCTCACTTCTGCTTCTACTCAGATCAGCAGCAAACTTCTGTTAATTTAAATAGGCATAGGACTGAGCATTGGAAGAAAATTTTGCTGCCATTTCTGCACCTTATGAGTAATCTGGGACAGTGGATTTCATGTGGCTCTAAAACAAAGTGCGGGCAGCATTTGGGAAAATTCACAAGGGATATGTTCCCTGCCACCCTTAACTTTGCAACCTGGAGGGGATCCTGTGCATGCAGGAGGGAAAAAGGAGGGGTCAGGACAGGATTAGAGAAGCTTGCACAAGTTTTTTAGTGCTACCACTGATGAGTGGGCAATGCACAGGGGCTGTGGGAATTGCTGTAGCCAAGGAGCCAAAGTAGCAATATTGCCAAGCCTAAAGTTTTAAAAGATAATGAGTCAGACCCACCAAAAGTATGAGGTCAGCTTTAAAAATCCACGAGATTTAACAAACGGAATTCTCTTCATTTGCTTTCTGGTTTTGGAGCCTTTAGGGTCCACTCAAGTCAGATTTTCAAGCCTTTCCCGGCAAGCATGCGGGTTTTTGGTTTTTAATGGAAGCTGGGATTCTCAACTAATTACATGATTCTAGAAGTATTAAGGTTGCAAAGTCAAGCACTCAAAAGTTAGAAAATGCCAGAATTCAGGTTGCCAATGTAACCTTATTGTAACCTCTTGTACATATGCAATATAATACAGACTAATTACATGATCATATCCTACTTTTTCCACAGGACCCCTGCCTCATTACATGCACAGGAATGATGGTAAGCAGCTATTCAATATTTTATTTTCTCCTTGCTGTGCAGTGTATGGCTCCAGACCTTATTTACTGCACACTAGTCAAACTCTACTGTAGGGTGACCAGATGTCCCGATTTTATAGGGACAGTCCCGATTTTTGGGTCTTTTTCTTATATAGGTTTCTATTACCCCCCCCCACACACACACCACCTGTCCCGATTTTTCACACTTGCTGTCTGGTCACCCTACTCTACTGTGAAGAGAGAATTATTAAACTTCCTCATGGGCTTTTTTCTGGAGCTCAGCAATATATTAGAGGGCTTCACAGATACTACTTAATTTTATTTTCCAAGCACAGCAGTTCACGATTACAGATGGTGAACTGAGGCACACAGAGAGTAAGGTCAAATGTTTCCACTAATTTTAGGTGCCCAATTTGAGATGCCTAGAATCCAAATGTTCAGAGTGTATATTATATTGCACTCTCTGTTTAAAGCACAGCTCCCATCGAGTTCAGTTGCAGCTGTGAGCATTCAGCACTTCTGCAAATCAGACCACAGGCTCTCAAGTTAGGCACCCAGAAAAATGAGGAACACACAATTAATGACCACCTGTAAAATGTTGGATTTGAGTAACTTGCCTAGGAATACACAAGAACTCTGTGGGAGAGGCAGGAATAGAATCTTATTCTCTAGGGCAGCATTGAACTGACTTACCCATGAGACCATCCTTTCTCTTCCTACAATCCTCAGCCTCTTCCCTACCACCTTCAAAGGTGGCCATCCATCACTCCAGGAGGAGGAGGTTGGATTGGGGATGGTTCTGCAACTCTGGTGCCTCTTTCGAACCTTTTGTTCACTCACATCTCCAGTTCCTCTGGACATAACCTACTGACTTCTTGGATGTCAGCGAGGCAGAATGGGTGTTGTCTAGACTTCTCTGCTCAGAGTCCCTATCTAGAGCCCTCATTCTTTAACTCTTACCTCATTCCCACTCCTGTTTTTTCATTTGTTGTCCCCAGAAGTCATTTATAGCCTGGGCTCAGTGGTTCCTCCTCCTTAGCTGATGGGGGCAGAGGGGCTTTAGTTATGGGTAGGCCTAGAACCTCTGACCCAGTGGTGCAAATAGTACCTGACTCCTGCAACAATGAAAACAGGGGTCCTACATCCAACAGCCTCCTTCACTACCTAAGTCCAGTTCATCCCCAGAGCAGACCCAGCCTATTTTTACCTGAGCTGTATCTCAGAAAGAGACAAACTTATGTCTGAAATTAAAAAAAAAAAACCAAACCAGCCTGAGGTAGATAGCATGTAAGGTTTCAGCTCAAGTGGTTAAAGTCTGTAAAAGTTATAAGCAAATGAAAACAAGGTCTTACAGTAGGAGGCATCATGCAACTTAAACAATAATCAGTGTTAACAGCCTGCCATGGGGTCCTTCTCAAGCTACCTTGTGAGCAGTGCTGCCTAGGCCATTTATGGGGGTTTCCTAGTGACAAATATACACAGTCGGTTTCTTTTTCACCATGTGTATCTTTAATCCTCAGTTTCCTTCACTCAGCCTCTGAGATTTCTCTTCTACTTCCTGTTCCTCCCAATTATATATCCTCCCCATTATTAAGCCAATTACTTCATTAGCCCAACAGTTACCACCAAGCATTAGTAAGCACCAGTAACAATTAAGCCTGCAGCATTCTCTGTGTTACAGCAACCCCAGGGACCTGGGTGCTACAACTAGCACTTAGTCACTCAGCTCCACCAATTTATAAGGTTTTGTAAAGGGATCATTTAGTGCAACAAATACAAGTCTACTCACAAACTGCAGGCTGGGAACTGGCTGCTTTATTTAATTGCATCACAATAGAGTTTGTGGGGTGGAGAGAGGACTCCCACTGACTAAACTGGAAGTAAGGGAAGGTTGAAGCATGGCTCTGTCCCATAATGCTGGGGGTGGGGGTGAAAGAGGGTAACACAGTTAACCCCATGATGACCACTTTATCTTGTGGCTGACACATAGGACTCCAAATGTGGAAATCTGGGTTCTGTTCCCAGCTCTGACACAGACTTCCTGTGTAACCTCAAGGAAATGACTTATCTGCCTGAGTTTCCCATCTATAAAATGGTAATATTTACCCTCTGTGAGGCTTATTTAATGCTCGTAAAATGCTTTGAGATAATTTGCTATGTAATTATAAAGTATTATTTATTAACCACTCAGAATACTAGCTAGAATCTGGATCCTGGAAATAAGGATCAGACTATTTTCAGGTTGTCCCACCCTTGACAGCATCATTAGTATACAGGGAATGAGCAATATGGAACACTAGTATGTAGAGAAGATGGAATTATTACTTACTAATAATTGTGCCTGTCACAGTCAGCTTCCCCCATCCTACAACAGAGTTCTCTTACTCTGAACGCTTATAACTCCACCTGCTGGCAAGCAGGAGGCATATAAAGATTTTAAATCATTCCTACAACATAAGAAACTGCGTAACCCATTCATAAATAGGTGAACAACATCCTAAAGAGTCCAACAAATGCCAGAAAGGTGATGGGGCAGAAGCTGGCGCAAGAGGAAAGAATTTCAACTACCAGGAAGTGGTTTCGCCTTGTAATCGCTCTCTCCTTTCCTCCCATCCTATGACAGACAGTCTCTCACAACTGCTGTATAAGAGGAGCAGCCAGGGCCTGTGTTCTTAATGTGGCTTGTAACCTTTTTTTTTCCTTTCTAGCCTGCATGCAGATAAGCAAGCCCAGCAAGCCGCAAAGCTCCCATTTCTCCAAAACTCTTATCATCTTGCTCCTATGCTGACATACAAAAAACAAAATGATCTTTTGGCTGCTTGAAATACGTATGGCATGAGGTGTTAAAACTGAACCGCTACCATCACCAAGTGGTCTGCCAGTTTGGAGGAAAAAACCCAAACAGATGAAGCCCCTTGCATTCAAAAGTCTAGCCTTGAAACACTGTTTTCACTCAGGAGCTCCATACAAGTCTCAAAGAAGCCTGAAATCAGAATAGGCCGGGCCATGGCTATGACTCATTCTTTACTTTGTGTCAAAATTTTCTGTGACAAAACAACCTTGGTTGAAAAATAGAGCTTCTTGCAAATGGAACAAGGCACTCCTGGCTATATGCTAGAAAGAAGATGTTCAGCTTATGAACAATGCATGTTGAAACAGATGCTTAGCAAGAGAATAAACCTGGAAGCTGGACTGCTGGGACATAAAACACAGACGTCTTTCATCACCCTGACCTAGATAAATAAATCACTCCTGTGCATACCAGCTTTCTTCCAATAGCATCTGAAACTGTCATTATATCTAAGGCAATTTTCTAGTCCCTTGAAGTTGCCAAAATTTAAGTATTTTTAGCATCTTCACTGTATGTTAAACAAAAAGCTCTCTCTATAGTCATTTGTGTTCCTCTCTGCCCACATGAAATGCAGACATAATTATTTGCTGTGACAAAATAGTCTAATGTCATGAAATAAGCAGACCATTGGAAATTGGGATATTCTCATTTCCAGGTGTAGAGAATGGTCCAGATAAATTTTTCATGGAAATACAGTATATGCTGACATTACGGAGATTGCATCAGTACAACTCAGGCAGAATATGACTCATGCCTTTAATAAACTAGATAAGAACTTTAAGAATAGAGGCTCAAATCAGCAAAACCATGAAGCACATGCTTCAGTGCTTTGCTGATTTACTATTCTATCACCTTGCCTTTTGACAGGCACACCTGCTTTTTAACAGATGTATCTAGATTTGGTGTATTTAACATTAAGACATACAAGTGTCTATATAAAGAGTTACCTTCTTACCTATTTTCTCTATGCATATATTCAGTAATGCTTAACATTAGCAACAAAAATATCAGGCGCTCTGATGGCTTATTTACTCCTGCTTCAGAGCCAATACAGTTTTAAGGACCTGAGCCGGATTCTTTCTACATCATGTAAAATCAACAGAATTCTTGACTAAGTTCTTCTTGCAGGTCACGTTGTGGAAACTAAAGCTTACATTTGTTTTAAGTTTCAAATTATTTCAAATAATTTGCTTGGAACCTTGTTTTGAGAGGAACAAGATTGCACTGAAACAAATAAAATAAAATATATGAGAGGCTGGTGCTAACAGAGAATTTGGTCTAATCATAACAGTCAAATGAAAATTCCATCCATTGCTACATAAAGGTTCAGCACCTTGGAAGAAATGAACAGCATACATCTTTCTAGCTTTCAAGGGAACTGAGGCTTTGAAGCAAGAATTTGGCCTCCAAAAATTCCAAATTTGGCAATACCAACAAAATAAACATTTATTAGTCAAACAGTTTTGTACCATTGCAACAGCAGCTCTGAAATCTCCAGACTTGCTAAAATATGCATGAAAAATTGAGCAGCATGCCAGACCTGCTTCATCAATATAAACTTGTTTAATGAAGGCCACCAGAAAAAAATACCTCGATGCTTCAGAGTGAAGAATTATCAGGATTTGTCTTGATCACACAACAATGGAACAAAATTTGACATAAAATAAGAAAAGCTCCAGTAGCCTTCTATCTAATCCATCACCTGCATTAGACTCCAACCCATATATCCAAAACAAGCACGAAGTGTATAGGAAACTGTGGAGTGGCCTCTGCTTATCACCTACATTGAGTATGCAGCTTGCAAAATTTAGGTACTTTTGGAAACAGAGAGACACTTAAGACTTTATATTAGACTTTTCTTTTGTTGTTTATTATTGGAGCTATGTTACAGTCCCCTGGTTGAGTCACCAGTCTACTTTATGGGACCCAACCTTTGGATCCCACAGGCTTCCAAGTCTGTTAGGTCTGGGCAGCTTCCAGACACTGTCTCTACCTCTGGCCTCTTACACATAATGCCAGGGTGCAGACTCCCTGTCTGGCACACCCTCAAGTCTCCCTAGTAGCTAATGCAGACTCTCCCTAGAGATCTGTCATATGGGCATTATGGTGTACAGTATAGTTTAACTCTTTAGGGACCACGTGACAGTTAAAGCAAGGTGTACACAGGCTTTGCAAACAAATGTCTTACACACACTTTACTTGATGTCATAAGAGATTTACAGGGCTATAGAAAAATAACAGACATTTTGAACACAATTCCCTCCCTCAGAGTCCTCACCACTGTTTGGGGTCTTTGCAATTTGGTCAGTGTCGGTCAGGCGTCCAGTTCCCTCTAGCCCTCCACTGCTCCTGCTCAGTCTTCTGGTTCTGGTGATTATTGTCAGAGAGACTGTCTGTTTTTAAAATCAGTATCTGGCCCTTCTTCCTGTTTCTCTTCTCACTCCAAGTTTTCCATTCTCCCCACCCTCAAGCATGGTTGCTGTCAGATAGTCTTTAAAAGTCATGGCTCAGTCTGTCATCCCCATGGAACTGCTCAGCCTGTTGTGCCCATGGTACCATCTGGGTAAAGCTATTCAATTGTTGAAGCCCCTTGATAGCCCTGGTGAGGAGTCACAGACTTCTGTCTTCTGCTATAGAAGGGAAGTTTTAATCCACACTGTAATCAAACAAAATTAATAAAATCAAATGGCATTCATAAGTGTACACAGACAGATATCCTAAACTGTCCAATTAGATCAGAGTTGAATCATGTGACTACATTTTTCCCCCTCACAAAGATGGGTTTTTCCAACAAACTGCCATTACCAGTAAACAAACTTGTAGTGAAGTGACAGTCTGGGTTGTCAGTGGGCAGTGAAACTGGGTGAGAGCAGAGCCCTAATTGCTTAAACCATGATAGCACCTAATGTATTATGGGTCAGATTCTGCTCCCTACCCCAACTTTTGCTGACTAGCACCTACTCTGCAAACAGCCCCATTTATTTTAACAGAACTACTCATGATGGAGTGTGGCATTACTGTTAAGCATTACATAGTTAGCATTAATAACAATAAAATTATTAATACAAAAAATTCAAAGTACATTCACAGATTTTAATTTCAGAAGGGACCACCATAATCAGCCAGTCTGACCTCCTGTGTAACATAGGCCATAGAATTTCATCCAGCAAAGTAGGTGTCATCCATGCATTTAGAACAGCCCATTCTGATTACTGTCTTGCTTTTCCTCCTGCCTTAATTCCAGCCTGGTTTTAGCAGCCAAAAATTTCATGAAACCCTGGAGTAGGAGATTACTGAGCCATATCATTTGAAAGTTGGAACTACAAGGTATATGTAGCATTGGCCTCAAATCTAACAGTTTCCAAGAAAGCAACCACCAAAGTCAGATCAGAAACACAGTGGGAGGAAAATGCAAAGATGATCATCAGAATTATGTGTTTTTAAGTTCTGACACCTCATGAAACAGTAGGGCTAGAAAATATGATACTGCAGTGATGAGCACCATAGAAAATCTAATGAGGGAATTAATAAGTCTGTCTTCAGAGCAGGGTTTGAATTGTATGCAGTAAATAAGACATGGTGTATCATTGAAAAATGAGGATAAAACAAAAATTGAATAACTGTTCATTCACGGATCACCATTCATCTGGTGCACTGAATGAGGCAGGATCCTGTGGAAAAAATACTGTAGAATCATAGAATTATAGAATCATAGAATATTAGGGTTGGAAGAGACCTCAGGAGGTCATCTAGTCCAATCCCCTGCTCAAAGCAGGACCAACACCAACTAAATCATCCCAGCCAAGGCTTTGTCAGGCCGGGCCTTAAAAACCTCTAAGGATGGAGATTCCACCACCTCCCTCGGTAACCCATTCCAGTGCTTCACCACCCTCCTAGTGAAATAGTGTTTCCTAATATCCAACCTAGCCCTCCCGCACTGCAACTTGAGACCATTGCTCTTTATTCTGTCATCTCCCACCACTGAGAACAGCCGAGCTCCATCCTCTTTGGAACCACCCCTTCAGGTAGTTGAAGGCTGCTATCAAATTGCCCCCCCCCCACTCTTTTCTTCTGCAGACTAAATAAGCCCAGTTCCCTCAGCCTCTCCTCGTAAGTCATGGGCTCCAGCCCCCTAATCATTTTCGTTACCCTCCACTGGACTCTCTCTAATTTGTTCACATCCCTTCTGTGGGTGGGGGGTGGGGGGACCAAAACTAGATGCAATACTCCAGGTGTGGCCTCACCAGTGCCGAATAGAGGGGAATAATCACTTCCCTCGATCTGCTGGCAATGCTCCTACTAATACAGCCCAATATGCGTTGGCCTTCTTGGCAAAGAGGGCACACTGCTGACTCATATCCAGCTTCTCATCCACTGTAATCCATCCCCAGGTCCTTTTCTGCAGAATTGCTTCTTAGCCAGACTGTCCCCAGTCTGTAGCAGTGCCTGGGATTCTTCCTTCCTAAGTGCAGGACTCTGCACTAGTCCGTGTTGAACCTCATCAGAAATCTTTTGGCCTAATCCTCCAATTTGTCTAGATCACTCTGAACCCTATCCCTACCCTCCAGCATATCTACCTCTCCCCGCAGCTTAGTATCATCTGCGAACTTGCTGAGGATGCAATTAATCCCATCATCCAGATAATTAATAAAGATGTTGAACAAAACCAGCCCCAGGACCAACTCCTGGAGCACTCCTCTTGATACCGGCTGCCAAATAGACATCAAGCCATTGATCACTACCCATTGAGCCCGACAATTTAGCCTTCTATCCACCAACTAGTCCCTTCATCCAATCCATACTTTTTTAACTTGCTGGCAAGAATACTGTGGGAGACCATATCAAAAGCTTTGCTAAAGTCAAGAAGGCAATTAGGTTGGTCAGGAATGACTTGCCCTTGGTGAATCCATGTTGACTGTTCCGGATCACCTTCCTCTCCTCTAAGTGCTTCAAAATGGATTCCTTGAGCTCCATGATTTTGCCAGGGACTGAAGTGAGGCTGACCGGTCTGTAGTTGCCCGGGTTCTCTTTCTTCCCTTTTTAAAATATGGGCACTATATTTGCCTTTTTCCAATTGTCTGGTACCTCCCCCAATCGCCATGAATTTTCAGAGATAATAGCCAATGGCTCTGCAATCACATCAGCCAACTCCCTCAGCACCCTTGGATGCATTAGATCTGGACCCATGGACTTGTGCACGTCCAGCTTTTCTAAATAGTCCTTAACCTGTTCTTTCACCACTGAGGGCTGCTCACCTCCTCCCC